GTTGTCTTCTAGCAGAGGGCGCCCGGCGAGCGCGTGCCGCCATGAGGTTTCAGTCAGGAGGAGAAGCGAGCGAGTGTAGGTACCTTAACAGCAGAAAATAATGCGAAGTGAGGGATTTTGCTGAGAAAACAAATTGTGCGTGATAGAAACCTTCCTTTTGCCCGAGGTTTGGGGGAACGCCGAGATGCAAGAGGGCGTTTTTCTGTCCTGCTGGCTGAGGCTGCCGTGTGCTCAGCAGACGCTGGCGAGCCTCCGCTTGCAGGGCGTGTGGAGGCCTGAGGCTGGGTGGGCAGGGCAGAGGCTCCCCTGGTCTGACCCCACCGGCCACGTGGGGTTCCACGAGGAGCCCTGGGGAAACCTGTGGAAAAATGTCTGAAGAAAACCAAAATGCCAAACGTTGGATGTTCCTTTCCTTTCTTCTTTCCTTTTCTTCCTTTGGTTGTTTTAATTGTTCTGTGGTGGTTTTAATGGATTTGAGACAGTGGAGCAGCAGCTGCCTTTCTGATTTTTGGCTGCTTTTTGTGAATAATTTAAAAAAGAAAATTTACATTTTGGAGACAAACCTGTGGGCTTTTTTATTGGTACAAACATTGTATTTAACACTAGGGGTTTTGTACAGTTTTTTGCCTTTTCTACTAGAAAACAATGTAAAGTGATTCACAATGTGACGAGAAAACAAATTGCCACTATGACCAAATGTAGAGTCTGTTCTGCAGTAACGGGATTTAATCAACTCGAAGTCGTGGTTCAGTCATAGAAATGCTTTTCTTTACCTTGTTTGAGCTGTTCCTTTTTTTTTCTTGTTTTGATTTGCAAAACAAAATGTCTTTTTGTGTGAAATTGTGTTGTACTCTGTAGAGAATTACGGATTTTACTTCAATGGTTTAAAAAGTGGAGGAGCACACGTTGCTTTTCTGATCTGATCGCAGAGATTGTGTAGTGGATTTAAAAATGAAAAGATTTGTTACAAGTTTGGAACGAGCGAGTATGTGCTAAAGGAATTTTCTTCCTTTTGTGTGTGTGTGTTTTGTTTTTTTTTTTCCTTTTTGTCCCAAAGGGCAACTTAAAGCTGTTTTAATTGCACAGACACACCGACAAGAAGTCATTTTGTATATGCCAAGTGTGGTACCTTCCTTTGTTTATTTGCTATTAAACTGTTTGAGAAGAGTCCTTGTGTGTTGTATTTGTGTCTTAAACTTGAGGTTCTTTTGGGGTCTAAGCGTGGGAAGATGAGTGAGATGGGAGAACGATTACCCAGTTCCTTAGCTGAGCCACAAAAATTTCTGTGTCCCAATACCCCTTTTCCTGGATGTACGTTATAGCCCTGTTTTTTTTACCTCTCCGTAGGTGAGCTGCTTTGAGTACAAATGGAAAAGGCTTTTTGATTGTTTAGCCTCCCTTTTATATCACTCAAGTGCCCGTTAGACATAGACAGGAGGAGCTGAGAATCCCGGGTAGTGGCAATCCCTTTCCCCCCGGTCCGAGTGAGGTGTGGGCAAACCCAGCCTTGGGAAGGGGGTGCCACCAGCCCTCTGCCGTGCTCTGCACTGGCCCTCCTGGTGTCTCAAGGGCCGAATAACTTTGGGGTGGCACCAGACTCCAGCTGTGCCGGAGCAGCACGCGTGCACGGTGCTGTGTGCGATTAGACGGGCGCCAGCTCCTGCGAGCCCCGAGCCCGCTGCTGCCTGCTGAGCCCTGCCAGGAGCACGGCCACGCGTGCTGAACCTGTCCTGGTACCTGCAGCCCCGCTGCTCCTGCTCCTGGAAAGCGCACGCAGGGAGGGAGTTACTAGCTCAGGCCTTGTGATGAGCAGAAGTTACCTGCTTTCTTTTTAGAACTAATATGTTACTGATTTGAAATAAAATTAGTTGTAAAAAAAAATAAGTGTTTGGTGTACGCAACGTATAATTCATTTAGACACTCGCTGTGGGTTTGACGTTGGCATTGCCTCTCTTGAAAGGAAAGTACCACAACGGCCGTGACTTTGCCACGTTCCTGAAAGCTCCTCAAGTGCAGGGATGTTGCTCCTTCCTTCTGCTGTCTGGCATCTCGGAGGCTGCAAGCGTTCTCAGGGCAGCTGTGTCTCTCCTCCCTGTCCTTTCCCTCTGTTATCTGGCGCACTCTGTTTCACCCCGGTACTTCCTACGTGGTTGTAAATCTGAGAGCGGTTGCAAGCCCGGGGACCCGGTGCCACGTTCCTCTCGGTGCCGCGTGGCACTGAGCCACCTGTCACAGCCTCTGCCGGGGCCTTGCAGCTCAGCCACAGCTGTCGAGGAGGGAGCATGGGAGACTTGGGTTTCAGATATGTTGGCGGTGAGGGAGGGAGGGAAACAGTCGAGTCGGGGAAGGGTTGGTTTAGACCTTCTTGTGCAAAAGCTCACCTTGCCCATCAGACCTCTGGCAGTTGCATCTCACCGAAGTGACACTAGATCCCTCTGGGGAGGCAGCTTTTTTCTTTAATTTAAAAGGCCACCACCAATCAGTAGACAATTAACCTATGAAAAAGAGCCAACATGTTAATCTCTGAAAATAATCAGCATGTCCCATGAGTTGTTATATTTGTCATCATCGATAGTCCTGATGTTGAATGTTTTAGGAGAGATTTCTTTCCTCTCATATCTGCCTCCACCTTTCACCACTTGATTTGACTCCAGTCTCCGATCTTCCTGACTTCACCAGCCATGTTCTGCTGTCTTCCCCTGGCCAGGAGTCACCAGGGATACGTTTCGGAGAGCAGTGGGGAGGAGAACAAGCCAGCTCAGTGTAGGCACTCGGAAGAAGTGGCCGTGTGACTGCCTACACTGCACATACTGCTCCACAGCGTGGCAGGTGAGATTCCCAAATTTGGTGTTGCCGTGCACTGTGCAGGATTACGTATTTGCAGTTTCTGAGAAGAAACTGTAGAAGCCATACCTGTGTCTTGCACAAACTTGAGCTGTATCTTGAGCCACAGACTGGTGATTGTTGTGACATTACTTTTTTGAAGCAGCAAAGGCAGTCACTGTCCCGGTGATTCTGCCCATTTACCCTTCCTTGTTCAGGCAGCTGCACTGGGGCATGTTCCACTGCAGAGTATGTTTTCGTTTTTCAAACGTGACCCATCTGAGCTTGATGGATCCAGCCCTTATTTCACTAGGATAGGTTTTTATCTCGGTAGGCAAATTGCGAATTGATTTTTAAGAGACTAAGCACGGTTTCGCAGGAGAACTTAAAAGAAAGTAAGCGCAGCGTGATCAGCAAAATGCAGGAGAGATCGTTTCCCTCCTGTTAGATGGCTTTTGTCAGACTGCAAGGCACCCTGTCCTCCCTTCACCTGTTCTTCACGGGGTACGAGAGTGAATGCTGAGGGGAGCAGTGCCTTGGTGAAGTGGTCGAGAAGCCTCAGGGTGAGTTAGAGTTCAGGCACGTTACTTTTGGAAGGTTAATTTTGCCAAGTAGTCTGCTCCAGCAGAGAATGATGGGATTTTTGTTTTCCCCCTTCTTGAGACCTGGCTTGATTCTTCTACGCAGGAGACTCCAGTGGTTGCTGTCCCCGGCCTTTTCACCAGGCCCAGAAATCTGACGGCCTCCCCATTATTGGCGCTTTCCATGAGAGTCGGTCTCCTGCATCTCGTGTCTGTCTCACCACCCACTGCTCAAGAGAGAGAGAAGAAATACTGCAAGGAGGAGATACTTCTTTTAATTCTGAATCAGACTTTTATGGAAGCCCTAAAATCTATAAAGTACCTAGATAATAATTTTTTAACAGTGCTGCTGAAGTGGTTTTTGCACATTAACCAGCTGTGCCTCAGTGTTACTTTTCTTCAGTCTTCTGTAGGTTTTCCCACAGTTTCTACTTCCAGATTTTGTGAGTACACAGTCTCTGTGCTGAAACCTCATCCAGCACATCACTACTCTGAAAAGCAATGCTAAATGAAAAATGCAGCACATCAATAGAGGTAGGACACTTGACTCCTAGCGGAGGTGTGTAGGAGAGTTAAAACTGTTTTCTAACTGGGCTACCAGTTCTCTTAGACAGTCAGAAGGTGCAGAAATCTGTTGCTTTGGACCATTGTTGCCACTGATCATAAAAGATCAGCAAGCTCTGGATGCAGAACTCCAGCAGCACCTTTGCCAACTTCCCTTGAAAACTCTTGGAGGACTGTGACAGCTCTCTGATGGCAGTGACTGACAGTCAGCTGTGAACAGTTTCTCAGGACGGCTGGCTTCGTCTTGTCCCTGAAATTAAGAAGTCGGTGCCACATTTGCAGCAAATCTGTGACAGAGCAGAACTTTGTCCGCAGCAACAGTCCATATTGCCAGCCGAGGTCCTCAAAAGGGAGGCTGAATTTTCTGCCTGACAGTGTTGGAGGCTGAATTTTGTGCCTGACAGTGTTTCAGGCGTGTTGTTGCAACTAAAATGCTAAACACACACATGCTGGAGCCTTCTAGCCCACACGTGACTTGTTAAGGCGCGACTTCTTCCTAAAGCCCCTGTCGTGGCTGAGGCTGCTGCCACCAGTGCTTGAGCAAGGGGATGGCCGGAGAGAAAGAGCGCGCTGTGGCACCGCTGTGAGCGCAGCCGGTGGCCTCTCCCCGGGGTATTTATAAGCTGCGCGCCGGCGGG